CAGAACTGCCCGGTAAACCGTAGGCAGAGAGAGAGAAGAGGACAACAAACGAGGGGCTGTAACAAACTGTTTCGTCGGAGTTTCACCGACTCATATTTGTCACATCACTACAAACTAAAAGAGCGCACTTTGCGGAACAAAGAATAAAAGCAAAAAACGGGCACAGTGATATATCTCATTCCATCCACAAACCATCACAGACCATCCATAAAGCAAAAAAAACGTATAGGGGGGGCAATATAATAGAAGATGCAAGGTTCCCCATGTTTGTGTGGTTGAGCAGGAAGTGCTTACACACCCATCTGCCGCCAAAGCGGCACATTTGCACACACTTTTTTTTTTTTTTAATTCACAGAACCTTTCGGTTCTGGCTCCTGCCATTCTGGGGAGCAACAGTCCGGTTCCTATTCCCCCGGCAAGTCATAATTGAATACAAAAAATACTCATGCACGCTCCTCCCCATGATGGGTGGAAAGTCCGAGTGGGCGGCATTGATTACTTCCCTGAGGAAGGATATACCACCCCTCCCCCCTGCCTAAGTTAGCCTATTCTACGTCAACCAGCAGTTTAACTCGTAAGCCCGGTGTATTCTTTCTTGTCAGACCTTTCCTTAAGAGCCTGCCTTATCACACATGAATTTCAAGAAAGACCGGTACTGTCTCCGTTGTTTACTAGGTCCTTTCCTCTCAGGTTACCCATAGCAACCTGTCATATAACTCATGAATATCCAGAAACGACCTTAGTACCCTCCCCGTATTGCAATGTGGTCCCTGTTGTTCACCTATGCCATAACTACATTTGTATTCCCTTGACTTGTACCAGACGTAGCTTGAATCTCTCTTTCCAGCAATGTTTTCCAAAGGTTACCTCCGCAAGCCCTAAACCCTACCTCCTTAAGCCCTTAAACCTACCTGTATTTCTCTACAGGTCATCATACTTTGCAGTCTCATTAATTTGTGGTATCATTACCTGAGGCGGATCCTACTTGAATCTCTCTTCCCACAGATCATTGCAGACGGATACCTCTTTAAACCCTAAACTCTACACATTATTTAGTTTTTTCAATCTATGAAAAAAAGAGGGAAGCGCCAAGTGCCCACTCACCTGTCTGCTGCCAAAACGTACAACTCCGACCTGCCCCACAGAATCACATACCAGGCACAGATCCAAACTTTCGTGCGTACATCCATGGAGGACAAAAGACAACATGCTTAACAGATTACCTCACACATACCATAAGTGCACCACAGGCTCTACCAGCAAGAAAGCACCAACCAAGCCCTCATTGGTACACAAGAAATAGGAGAGCCCTCAGAGCACAAAGCCACAAAATAAATCCACAAAATCTCCATGTGACACCAGGAGCGCTACTGCTTAAAACACCATAGGAGCTCCACCATCTTCCATGTGCTCCAAAAGAGCAGCCCGTGGCAGTGACACCCACAGCAAAGACTCTCTGAGCCTCTTTGAGAAGATTCTGTGGTCATAACTCCAACCAAACATTCCTGCTGTTTCAAAAAAACCCAAACTCTCTCTCTCTCTCTCTCTCTCTCTCTCTCTCTCTCTCTCTCTCTCTCTCTCTCTCTCTCTCTCTCTCTCTCT